GTTTCCATGTTATTTTCCATTATCAAAATATGGCCCTTATATAACCCCTATATACCCTATTATAGCAGTTTCCATGTTATTTTCCATTATCCCAATATGGCCCTTATATAACCCCTATATACCCTATTATAGCAGTTTCCTGTATACCCTATTATAGCAGATTCCATGTTCTTTTTCCGTTATCCCAATATAGCCCTTATATAACCTCTTTATACCTTATTATAGCAGTTTCCACGTTATTTTCCATTATCCTAATGTAGCCTATATCACGCCTATATACCCTATTATAGCAGTTTCCCATGTCATTTTCCATTACCCCAATATAGCCCCTGTATAACCCCTATATACCTTATTATGGCAGTTTCCATGTTATTTTATATTTTTCCGATATAGCCCCTCTAAAACCCCGATATGACCCCTCTAATGACCCATGCTTAGCTGCCAGCTGCTTTCATTGCCGCCTGGCGCACATTGTGTTTTGACTTATGTTGCTGGAGGCCGCTCAGCGTCACCAGCCGCGTGCCCAGCGTTTGGCATCAGCCAGTTTTGACGGAGCACCATTCAGTGTGGAATTGAGATATTCATGTGGCGAAGTTGCACTTGGATGGTGATATGGGCTGCAGGGCAGACTAGCATATGTCAGGAGCAGAATGCCCGCAAGCTGCACGTAACACGCGACAGGTTCTGGAGCTTAGTGATATGGTGTCCACACCAACACCAGCATCATCCGCATAATCAGTGCGCTGCTACAATGGTTTGCCACGATAGATGTGCACTAGATTGCACTCAGTGCAATGGGGGTGCCACAGTCTGTCTGTCTTTCTGCCGCGGCGCAGGTCTGGGTGGCCCGTGGTACACCCGAGGCGAGCGGGAGCTTCGTGCTAGCCAGCTGCTAGCCATGTTATGGGGGGGATAATGGATAATATTGGGGTTATATAGGGGATAATGGAAAATAAAATGGAAACTACTATTTAGGGTTTAGGGGTTAAGGGTTATAGATACTAGAAAGCTCAGCAAAGAACACACCCAATCGACTTCCAGTGCAGTGCCACACTGAGACCGGATTTTGAGATGTCATCCGAGATCCAATCCCAAAAAATGATAGCACGTTTATCATGTATCCACCATATGATCCACTTTGAATTTGCATCGTACTGGCTATTAGCAATTGCATGCACCACCGCTGGTAGAATTGGCAGAGTCGCACATGTGACAGCAGGCCTCATTGTGATTAAAAATGACAGCACATGTTGCACATGAGCAATCAAATGGGTTACGGTTACGGTCAATAATAGGTTTACCCGGGCCCATTACGGGTGGACATAGGGATCCCCTTGATAATGTTGTATAGTCTTTTACAGGCATATTTACACATACGCTACTATGGACCCATGTCCATTAACTACATTATGGGAAATTGACTGTGGCTCACATGACCGCAAACTATACCGTCTCTTCAGCCCGCAAGCAGGGACACGCAATCTTATGCGTTCTTACTAGGGAATAAGGGAACATAACTCTCAATAGTCCCTATATAGTATATTCCCACATTCCCTACTAAGAACCAGCAAGCAATAGCATCCCATTGGCAGGCCAAGTCTTGCAGCCTGACAGCTCCCCAGACCAACGCCTCGCCTTTGCTGGAGCCTTCCATGCGCGCTGCTACGTCCCAGGCGATAGAAGCAAAGCATGGAGGGCGGATGTAAAGGTCCAACAGTCGGAAATTTCCAGAACAGGGGCCATCGTTGCATAGTGGTGATGGGTGACGCTGACCCGTACCTGCCAATTTTGATGTTTCATGTTGGCGCGGAGGGCCTATAAGCCTTGCTGTACTTGCGTGTGCGTATCAGTGGGTAGAGAGGTTTTAAGATATGTGAAGGATCCAGTGAAGGATCATCCGTGCACGTGTATTATGTGCATGTCTGCGTACATGGCCAGTCTTGGAATGCCACTTCACTGCGTCACTTGGACAGGCAAGACGCATACCATTGTCGCCCTTCAACTGGCAGGCACAACGCATCAGGATTTTCATCAACGTCTGTTAGCGGAACTGAGCTGAAGGTAAGTGAAGGTACCAAACATCAGGAGAATTATCGTCATAGGAACTTGAGGGATATCTTTATGTATGTCATGGATAACTGCCCTAGTGACCCTAGTGGTAGTAGGAGCTTTCAATCCTGCTTACCGTTTCCCTCACTCAGTTCATTCCACTCATTCCTGTTACGTTCCCTTGCATGCTAGTAGATCAGCCGCAGGTCAAAATGGACACCTGCAAACTTGGGAAGGACATCATTAACTTGAAGCCTCACTCGAGGCCCAGAGAAGAGCTCCTGCACTTGCTCCTTTCATCATTCAGCAAGCCTGCAGTGCATTTGAGTAGTATTTTGTTAACCTCAATCTCGAGTAAGACGGTATCCTCCTTTTGGTTATATCATTTCATACACTACTCATTTGATTGCTGAAGCTTCTGCCCAATGAAACCCGCATTCAGCACTCGTTCGGCTGCATCGTCGGCACCATCATCCTCGTCCACTCCGATCGTCCCTCTGCACGCTCCCTCAGTCCGGGCTGCTTCTGGTCACGTGGCTAGTGTGCAGAGAAGTCTTGAGATGTCTTGAGCAGCAAGTCGTAGACCGTGAAGCGCCATTTTTGTGAGAAGTTTCTAGACAGCAAGGGATGCGTACCACTGCAGCGCCCACTCGTGGCTTCTCTATTCCGACGTTGCCACATATCCTTAGCAGCAGTTTTGCCGACCCAGGTCAGGAGTTTCACTTCCAGCAAACGAGGCGCCAAGTTTCCGTGAAGTTGGACCGCTCAAGTGCTTGGTAAGTTACCTTCTGCTGGAAGGGCAGGTTTGGGAAGAATGAGTGCATTTCCAATATGTTAAGGTGCAGCTTGGGGGAACCCTGCAGACGACCCCGGTGAATTTGAGAACCCGTAGATGTGCTTTCGCTGCTTGACGCGGGTCGCGCGGCGTAGTTGTACGCAACTACTCCCTCTGTACAATAATATCTCAGTGTGGGCTCCAACCTGGACCAGCACAGCAAGAAGTGATTTGTTTTTCTGGCGTGGTTGTGCACATGCAGTGCAGGCAGAGGCAGTTCTCAAAGATTAGACATGACAAGGCTGACAAAACAGCATGGTGTTTTTCAGGTCGCGTTTGAGGGTAAGAAGACCCTTGCTTGAACTAGGTGAGGTGAGCAAGCAGGAGCCAAAAGAATATGCAGGTGGGCTAGGCTCTGGCCAAAGGAGGACCACAGAACAGCGGTCAGCAGGCCAGTAGGCAGCCCCATTTCCAGCATGGATGCGAGGGATGACCCGACAAGCAAAACAGCTCCGCGGAAAGTGCAAGTCATCACATCTGTAGCAGTGAAACAAAATCCGGAAGACCATGTAGGTGGACTTGCAGAGCTGAGTGGCAATGATAGCCATGTGGAGGTTTAGATGTTGAAGTACTGCACAAAGGACGCATGGAAGGACAGCACGACAATTAATCTGGCTATGCATGGGCGCGCAGAATGGCAATGTCATCATATCAGCAGACTTCCTACAACCGCTCAAAGCTGCTTCTCGCAGGTTTCGGATGCCGTTGAAGCAATGGCTGGCGTCTCCTCTGTGGCAGCAGGCACCCACGCGAAGCTGAAGTATGCTCAAGTGCACAAGAAAGCTGAGTATCTGGGAAAGATCGACAATGTTGCAGTTGTAAGCTGACCTGTCTTGTGAAGCTCAGCATCTGTCATACCAGCATCTTGGTCAGGCACCAAGATCGTCCGCTTCTGCCTGCACCCCAATGATCTGAAGACCGCCAATTTTGCAAAGGGGATCAACGGGGTTTGTAGCAGGGCATGCCTTACAAATCTTAGTTAAGCTGACTAACTTCAGTTTCCAAGTAATCGCAGGCACAAGATTGAGTTGCCTTTGCTTAGGCCCAGGCATATAAACGTCTGCAGTGCTGCAGAGCAGCGAGTGGTTGTGTCTTGGGAAGGTAGCTTGTACACCTCTCCTTGGTTCTGGGACAAGAGTATTGTGGGTACAGGCCCTTGCTGCCGAGATGGGGCCAGGGTACTTGGACGGTCGGAACAGCCAGATAAGCCCGATCTCGGGAAGCAACAACCTTCAATCGATCAAACATGGGGGGCTCTGACAAGTAAAGAGAGTATCAGTTGAAGATTATATTACCCCAATATATCCCTAATATTACAGTAGTTTCCATTTTATTTTCCATTACCCCAATATAACCCTAATATTATAGTAGTTTCCATTTTATTTTCCATTATCCCAATATTAACTACTATAGTATGCAGGTTCAGGAGAAGCCTCAGCTCGCAGCAAGGAGGTCTTTTTGGAGAAGACAGCCAAGGCTACAGGGTTCAAGGTCCTAATGCGATAAATTGCAAACTTGTGGTGATTGGCTTTTGCCCTTTGATTGCTTTGGAAGCTGAGCTCCTCCGTCCATCTCTGTAGGATACAGGCGACATCGTACCCGGTGAGAAGCAAGTGGCAGGACGCACACCAAGCTATGGAGGACTGGATCATATGGCCCGAACAAGCTTCTCCTGTAGCAATGCGTGCATTTCATGCAGGAGCTTGAGTGCAAGCCTGCTTGAGTCTGGGAGATAGTGCTCCGAACACTCAAAGTGCGCAAGTTCTGCTGTGAGGCTGCTTTACATCTCAGGAGATGCGGTCAGCAGTGGCGAATACGCTGACTGACCTGTAGCTTGCCAGTCCAGGGGCTTATCCGCATGAGGAGACTAGACTAGACTAAGCCTGGAAGCACAGCTACAACAGCAATTCGGGACTGAAGCTGACTTGCAACACATGAATCGTAGACAGTCTCCTTGGCCGTGCTATCTGAAAGCATCATGAGCCCCTGCGACAAATTCGTAATTGCCGCAGAGCTGATGCTCCTTGCAATGCATCGGCTTTGAACAGCTCAGAGGCGTGGGGTGCTCAACGAAAAAAGCTTGGCCCGCTCTTCAAGCTCCCTTCGGCGCATGGAGGTGGGTGGCAAGCATCCTTCTGGGCATTTTTGGGCTCCTAAGAACAATCGATCAAGCAACTGAACTACCCCCATCACACAGAACCTGTATGGCAGACCCTTGTATCATGTAACCCCCATATAACCCTTACAACTCCGTAATAACCCTTAAATAACCCATATTATAACCCCTATGTAACCCTATATACCCAGTTTCTGCAAGTATTTGCAGCTTTGAGGCGGCCGCATCTCCAGCTTCAGCAAGATACTTACATAACTCGCACACCTTGCCATAAAACTGGGCATGTAGGGTTATTAGGGGCTATGAGGGGTTTTAAGGGTTGTATGGTATGGGGGTTACATGATACAAGGGGCTGGATTGCTTGCATCTTGACATGTGCGATGCATCCTGTGCATTCTCATTCTTCTTCCCGGCTGCAGCCCAGTTCTGGCCTAAGTCTTAGAGTCTCAGTCTCCGAAGAGTACTGACCATGACTGCTGAAACCACTATGTTTCAATACGCGTGGACGGATGCTGCAGCCTCAAGTGGATGGTGGAGCCGACGGTATACAGCTTCTGCACTGGTCAAGCAGTTGGGACAGGTGTCTCAGGACTGGGGTATCAAGCTGTACATCGCGTGCGGCGACGATGACTTCCTTTGCGAGTGCAGCACGGCCACCTGCAAAATCCAACAGCTTGAAGGGTTTTGACGACCCATAATGCACAAGGTTCTTACTAAGTTTCGCTTGGTGATTACAGTGCAGTCCAGTGCAGTCCAGTCTAAAGGGTGTCCTGTAGCGGCAATCAGAGATTCCTTTTAGGGGGGCCTGTGCACTCTTCTCGAGCGTTTGCTCCCCGGCAGAGACTGCATTCCTTAAACGGTATAGAATGCGTCTGCCAACATCATTGCTCAGAGGGTCGGAGGGCACAACTGTAGCGCACAGTCGTTTGGTTTGGCTCCCAGACTTCGATACCCTTTAGCCCTGAGGTTACAGAGGCAGGCAGATGGCTCAGAGAAACCTTCGCGGGTGAAATCAAGGCAGAAGACAGGCAGCAGGCTGAGAGTAGCTCGGGCTTCAGCAACTTTCTGTTCCTGGGTGTCGTTCGGCTTCTTTTGTGTTTCACAGAACTCATGGCAGGGCTTCGTACGAATGACTCATGACGGTTTTGCCAGGTTTTCAACATGCCGGCCATCTGTGTCACCTGACGATGAGTGGGTCCTTGTAGGCCCTGAGCCATCGGCCTCGAGCTCAGATCCACAACCTCAAGCTCAAGACCCCGGAGCTGCAGACCATGTCGAAGGCTCGAATGACAAGATGACAGATCTTGGCGACTGCCTCGAAGCTGTTGACAGTGTAAAGGCACAATACATGCACGGCGATCTCTACAGCCCACTGGCAGTCCATAACCCCATGCGGTGGAGCTACCTGAAAAGTGTAGAAGAGGTAGCGGAAGAGCTGGACCAGCAGCCACGCAAACGAAAGCTCCTCCTGCGGGTGGTGTCTTCGAAGCAGAGGCTGCACAAGATGTTTCAAAGCGCGGCGGGTGCAGCAGCTTGGATTCGCAAAAGGTTGGTGCGATCTAAAGATGCTGCCGAGTTGGACGAGGAACGCCTGTGCATCATCTGCCTGACGCAGCCCCGCAACGTGCTGCTCATGCCCTGCCGCCATGCTGTGCTATGCGAGGAATGCTTGGGGATCCTCATGGAGCGCAGGCCCAGTCAATGTCCAGTCTGCCGGAGCCTGTGGGAGCAATTTCGGCTAGCTTTACATTTGGCAAACTTAATAGTGGATACGAGCCCATGTTTTCCCGTGAGTGATTACATGATATGGGTGTGCAAGGAAGCTCATTCAGAACCATGCGCGCGGCCACTTCCTCGAGGACTACGTAGAGCTTGTTCAAGCTGCTGAGGCGCGCATGGAGCTCTCGCAGCAGCAGGCTTATGAGGGCATGTACAACCATGTTCGTCCGTTGATGGTGACTGGTGCCCTTCTTGCGTCCGGAGCTGCAGCCTGCTTCGTCGTTGCACCACCACTAGCACCAGCATTGCTTACCGGCGCCGCGTTGATCGGCTATGTGCCCTGGTTTGCCACTACCGTCGCACACTTCGAAAGCCAGGACATGGAAGTGTCAGCGCTCCAAAACCGCATCTTCACTCGAGAGGATCTTTCAAGCCCTCTCGCATTGGTTACGAAGTCAGCCGTGCTTCTCATCGCAGTCCCAGTGGCTGGGGTAGTATTCTTTCTGCCCTATGGGCTCTATGCTGGTGTGCTGCGCCCAATGACGCGGTGGACGCTTCAAGGACTCGTGCGGGCGGCCTGCCTCGCCCATGTCTACCTCCTGCGACCAGCAGCTGGACTGGCTGCAAGAGCTTGGGAGCTGTTATCTGGCATTGGGAGCACCTGTGCGGATGGCTTCATGGCCGCCCTGAAGTCCTTCTATGATATGGTGCTGTGCCCAATAGGTTCTGGCCTGAAATGGTTGGCCAATCGTGTTGCTGACGCTGCCAGCTGGACCTTCAACAGTCTCATGGTGCCTGCATGGGAGGCGCTTAGCAGCTCTGCAGCTTTCGGCTACGAGCACGTGCTGCTCCCCAGCGCCAAGGTTTGCTGGCGGGCACTGCAGGCTGCAGCCCAGGCTTCATATACTTACGTGTTGGCACCTGCTGGCCGTGGGTTGGTTGTTGCGGCAGAAAAGCTTGGTGGAGTGCTATCTTTTCTTGCCGAAGGCCTTTATGCTTGGGTAGTGGTCCCTTTCGGTCATGCAGCCTGGACTGGCTTGAAGGCAGTTTGTCATGGCCTGGGGGCTGCTGCCCACGGCACCTATGAGCACATCCTTGTCCCTGCTGGAAGTGCCGTGGCCTTTGCACTGAAAGCCCTTGGCCGGTGCCTAGTTGTCAGCGCAGAGGCTCTTTACGGATATGTTGTTCAACCGCTGGCGAGCAACATATACACCTATGCTGTAGTGCCTGTTGGCTTGGCCGTTCGTGCTACGGCTGGTGCTGTCTGGTATGGAGCTGGCGCGGCTGCCCAAGCACTTGCTCAACTTGCGCAGGTCAGCTACAGCTATGTTTTGCTTCCCACGGGTCATGCCATTCAAGCAGTGTTTGGGGCTATTTGGTATGCAGCCGGAGCAACGGCCGATGTGGCTGTGAAGCTTGCGCAAGCAGGATACGCGAACGTAATCCTTCCAATGCTGAAGCTTGGCGAACTGAGCTTGACTGCAAGAGGTTTCCTGCATGTGGGTAGACGCACCTAAACCAAATTTTGATTTTTGCTCACGCATGCTGGCGGTACCCCAGGAATGCCGGCATCAAGTTGGGAGAAGCCAGCTACACGTTCGTCGTTGCACCCTGCGGCCGAGCCATTGCAAGTGCCGCTCACGCCACCGGTCAAGTGGTCATGGCGGTTGTGCAAGTCCCTTGGCCTCATGACGCCATGTACTGTGCCCTGAAATTTCACAGCTGGATGGACCCAGGTCAGTGGCAATGCAATCTATGTCTACGTGGTTTGCCCTGCTAGTCAGGCCTTGGCTTCATCAAAAGTCTAGTCCAAATCCTATGCAAGTCCTTTCCGTCGTCATGAAGGGAAGCCTGTAGGTTGACCTGGGAGGCCAGTCAGAGTGCTCTGGTTGCGGGGCGACAGGCAGTGCAGCAATGCCATGCCACCGCAGTGAGCACGGGCCAAACTGTTGCTGAAGCACTTCAGCAAATGTTTGGGGCTTCTAAAATGTCTGGATCCTAGTCGAGATCCTTGTAGCAAGGATGCCACGAGATTGTGGATATAAAGGGGGGCCCTAATTTTGAAGAATATATTTGTACATTTCCTTTTTTTTTCTCAGCTGTTTGCGTTTCAGTCACCTGTCTCATTTGCTCTGCGAGTTGTGGCCTTCAGGTTCGTATCACCATTCAAGGTCTGGTGAGGCGCTAGGCCGTACTCACATGGCACAAATATCATCTTCAGAGCCATGGCAAACTTTGATCAGAAATGACCTTCAAGCCTGCTCTTCGATGCTTCCCCCAAAATCGCGAGCTATTTGCTGCATGGAGTTTGCCATGGTGATGCACAACAGTTATTTCCAGGACTGCCTCTGCACAGTGCAAGCAGACTGTACAGCCTGGTAGTGCGAGTCTCTGCTGCGCAACGCAGTAGCTTACTCAGCAAAGCATGCCCACATGGGTAGACATGATAAGCTCCGCGCAATGTTTTGCAGAATGCGGCAAGCTTTCCCTAATTTGTTCAAAGTCTGGAACAGAGAGGCTCTGGACAACGCTGGACATAAGGGCGGGCAGCTGTAGCCATGAGCAAAATGCAGCTCTTTGCATGTTGGGGCTGCAGTCACGCCTGCATCCCACTAGCCCATCACGGGTTGGGTCCGCTGTCCTTGATTATTGCTTTTTTCTCAACTTGCACGGGCGGATGAGGTCTTGGTCCTTAGTTGGTTTTGGTAGACTTCCAGCCCCCCCACCCCCTGTTCCCCCACGCCTCAAACATCTTGGCTCAGAAAGTGTCTGTACAGTCATCACACAGAAATATTTAACACCTGACTTGATTTTCCTGTTGCAAGTGTACCTTGATGTACCTTGTCTTACCTAGCCTTTTGCCACCCCTGGGCTCAAGTCCTTGCCAACATGTTGGGCCAAGTCCTGCCAAAACAGTCGCAGAAATCTAGTCTCAAAAACACCCGCCAATGGTATAGCTTAATGTCCAGCTGGCCCCTCTAAAAGTAGTAAGAGTTCGCAGCGTTTGCCAAGACTGGGCATCCATTGTCAAGTGCTATCAGACCTGCATTTGAATGGGTTTCGGCGCTGACCTTGCGTATCTGCTGCGGCGCTATTGGACACTATCCTTGGGATAGCAGAATTTTGACTTACCTCCCTTTAATTAAGGCATTTTGTCCCTATAATTGGGGTGCCCCAATATACACCCCAATATACTATAATCCTTATTCTGGGGACCCCCCAAAATGGTACCCCTAATTTTGGGAAAACCCCATTTCAGTGAGCCGAGAGCAACGAGGTCGCTCTGGCTGGGCAATATTCTGGAATGGTACGAGTTTGCAGTGTATGGCTATTTAGCCCCGCGACATGATAAATGCGAAAGGCTTTCTTGTACGGTTCGGTTCAAGATTGGATGAGGCCAGCTTACGAGACAAGTAGCACGAATTACTAATGTTATGATGATTAAGTACTAGTACTAGTGGGACAAGCTGAACGACTTCCGCAAGAAATTGAGTAGACAGTGGGGAGTAAGATCATGCCAAGCCGCCAGCGAGATCTATTTGTCCTTTAAGCGGCAAAATGCTCAGGTCATTTTCTTGGAGGACAATTTTTTCCGAGGATCAGAAATTGCCACATGGCTGGGCTTCTGGGCAGAATTCATTGTTCCGGCAGCCAGCATCATAAGACTGACCTCTGGTTAGCTAGGAATGAAGAAATGGATCCTTATAGTAGTCCCATCCCATTATAGTAGTTTCCAATTTCCTTTCCATTCATTCATTCCCAGCTAACCGAAGGCCAGAAGAGCTGGCTCAGGCTTGTGGGTAGGCATTTAGCACGTTGGATCTAGCAAGGTTGGGTGAAGGTGCTCGGAGCCACTGCAATCCCTCACTGTGTGCTTCATCTTTGGCTCCTCTGTTGGCATGTCGAATTTCGTACAAAGATGCTATTCATCCATGAGGTTATACTGCAACCTTCATCGCGCGCCCCTTGGGCGGCCTTCTTATCGGCCTTGTCCTAGCCTCAAGTGCGGAGCTTGCGCCATTAGAAGCTTCTCTCGAAGCGTCCCAGGTATTTTCACATGGAACTCAAGTGACATTGTGAGCACTGGAATGAAGCTAAGATGGGTGATATTTGGGGGAGAAGAGCATCTCTGACTGTGTCCATTGTTGGCATGGTTGTCCCGGGCTGAGATTCTTAACGCAAGAGCATGGCGGCCTTTCTTGTCCAAAGGCTTTGATGTTGGTCAGCTTTGCCAGACTGGGTTGGGAGATGGCTTTCGAGCGGTCCCATAGTGCGCTGCAGGTGGGGACAGTCAGCCAGGGCCTCTTGCCCAGCCGCCTCAGCAGTGGCGAGGCAACGTGCACCACCGTCAAAGTCCCGTCAACACTTCCGGAACCTTTTGGGAGACTTCTTGCTGATGCCAGGCGTGGGGCCAGTTTGGTACCTACATGCTCTTTGTCTTGCGCATTGTGCAGGGACTTTGTACTGGTGGGGAGGCTGCGGGGTGTATCTCTTTGAGACAAATCCATGCATGCGTGCTTCCAACTTCCAGCCACGGATTGATGCATAATGACATGCTCACAATTCCTAACTCCTGCGAGATAAGCACGGTCTCTACGTACATCATCGAGGCGGGCCGATCTTGCGGTGCATGTTTCATTGCCGCCAGAAGCATGTTTTCTGCAGCACGGTAGGGTGGATTTCGTATGGCTTACTCTGCCTTATCTTTGCTCCTATTGCGTCTGCCGGTAGAAATGACAACACCTACTTAAAACTCTTGGAAGCAGTAGATGAGGAAGCAGCAAAAGCGTGGCAGTCGACGTGTCAGCGTACCGCATCCTTGCATTGCTGTGCAGTTTGAAGCGCAACCTTGTTGTGTGAAGATGTGTGAAGGTGGGCTCCAAGAAGACCTTGGCCCGGAGCATGTCGCTCATTTCTGTATCGATTTATGTCGGCTTTCTGCTGGCGCAAGGGGCTGTTTGGCTGGCGCAGGAACCTATCTGCGTCTGACATACCTGCTGCCAGTGCGTTCGCTTGCATGAAGCCTTCCTGCTGCCATCCTTTTCCTGAGACCTTCACTAGCCACTAGAAGCACAGGTCTTTATATATGTGGTAGTTTCCCTAAATAGGGGTACCCCAATATAGACCCCCCAATACTATAATCTGTATTATGGGGACCCCCAAAAAGGTACTCCTAATTTTGGGAAACCCCCATATCGCACTGTGAGGACCAGCTTGGCTCCGACGCCATGCGACAATGGGGCTGGCGGCTACCATTTCTCGCCGCCATAGTGCCAGGAGCCCTCACCATTGCAGGACCTGGTAGTTGAAGCAAGCCTGAAATGGTTACTCCACTAGATTGGCACATGCCAGCATGCCTATGGCTCGAAGCAGCCATGCACCCCCCATATGCAGTACTGCAACATCCCCGGTCTCGAAGTTTCTTCCAGCTTGCAGTGTTGAATCTACCGAGCCTCCAAGTCTGCTGCAAAATATTACAAATCCACAGCATCATCTCAGCATTCCTCACCCACCCGAAAGTCTCGTGAGCTTAGAGGACGACGCTGCCTGCGTGAGACGGACGAGTTTCAAAAGGAGCGGCAGGTCGCGATAGACGAAGGTGCGGCGTATCTTTTTGATTCAGCGCGCAGGAGTTGAGTGCTTAATTTTTGTGTCATGGCTCATATATTGCCCAACCATATGCTAACCAGGGCTGTGATCCCGAAGGTCATTCATCAGCTGGGGATGCAGTCAGCGACGTGCTGCACAGAGGCTGCCTCCCAAGTTGCTCCTAGACCCCGCAAGCCTTGGTGGCCCAAGCCTGGGGATGCTTATATGCTTCCTGCAATCGAAACAACTTTGCACCAGATTCTCATAGGTCCGTAGGTCCGCACAGACCGTGTGATGAGCGCATAAGTGTGATCTCCGGGTACTTGCTAGGCTATGCCATCTTGATTGCAGTTGGCGGGATGGCATCTTTTGCGGCAGCTTGGACTGAGCATCGCCGCAACGTTGGTTTCCTGAGAGTTGTGCTTGTCGGTAGGGAGGGCGCCCTCAGAAGTGTGAGTCTTTAATGGGATACTAGAAGGAAGGATCCACAATCTGAAGTGGATGCAGGGGGACGTTTCAGGTACGCTGCATGTCTCCAGACGATTTTCCCCTCCACGGTTTTCAGGTACATGCACTCACGTTCGCGCAGCTTGCCCTGAAACCCCTATGAAGGACTCGGAATTCTGAGATCAGTCAACATGATTTTTGACAGCAAGTGCCTGTCCGGAATCATGGTGAGTGGGTTCATGCTAAAGAGTGGAGCCAAGAGGTTCTGCCCAACGACTGAGGACAGGAAGTTAAGAGCCAAGGCGGAGGCCTCCAGATCCGGAGCAAAGAACGGAAGCCGAACTATGGAAGTTTCTCAAAACAAGCCCTACAAAATCCGTAAGTGGGATCCCTACAATCTCCTTCTCATCGCCATGTTCCCCTATCTTCAGAAACTTTTAGGACAGTAGCAGCTCGGCAGCAGGCCCAACTGCACTGGCTCCCGCAGCCCTTGATGCAGAGGTGTTTTCGTACAGTGGCCTGGTGTGGACCAACACATTCCTGGCCAAAGAAGGACGCAGCATGCTTGCTGCGGTTGGAGCAGCCAGCGAAACGAACAAGTGTGCGGCACAGTGACGTGATCACCAGTAATTAGCAAGACTCGCTGCTGCAAGCACTCACTGGCTGCCAGCACCAGCATTGCTGCTCATGTCTCCTGCTGCAGGACTTCCCAAGGATGAGGTCATGATGGCTGGCTTAATAGCCCGCCTCATTCAGATTTTTTTGGCCGTGCCCGTGGGCTGGCTAGCAGATGTTTTGGGCACCCGGGCTTGAACAAGCTCTTGGAACTTAAGGACGGACTGGTCGTGCGCATTGCAGCACTACCTAAATCAGCATGGTTTCACTTGGGGTTTCCCAAAATTAGGGGTACCTTTTTGGGGGTCCCAATAATGAGGACTATATCATTTTAGGGTCTATATTGGGGTCCCCCTATTTTGGGAAACTACCACTTGGAGGTGTTGGCTCAGTGACCTTCCTTGCTGCTGCAGTGCAGCTGTTTGCAGCTTTCCCGCTCTTCGCATGGCTGCAGGCCAAAGCTACATGGGTATGGAAAGAAATTACAACGCCTTGGGGCTAAGCTGGTTATCATGCTCGGTGAGGTCCAAGCTCCCTGAACCTCATACATCCCCCCATTCAAACATAGTTGTCTGGAGCAGTCTATGCCTGGTCCGCATGTTAGGATGTGAGGACTATCGCTTTGTTTAAAGAACTGTTCTGCGCAACATGCCTCGAGCCAGCGCTTGCTTGTGACCTGACACACCCTCTCCGATTTGACTGATGTTCCGCAAGGCGAATTCGACGAGTGTCGCTGCCCTTGGTTCGCAAGCTGAGAGATTGACGCATGCGCCTGCACTGGTATGTCAATGTATGTTTTCAGATGCGGTACAACCACGTGGTCTCCAAAATTGTTGGGCTTCTTATCGTTCAGCAAAGAGCGACTGCGATCGTGGCTGAATAAGCAAACCTTCAAATAGTCGTGGTGCGAATGTTTCAGCGAGGTCATGTATGCGGCCTACGCTGTTGGCAGCTTGGATGGACCTGCTCTACCATCTAATGCGCGTCAATTTATTCTTGCTCGTTTTTGTGCCCTCCATCAGAGCATCAACCTGCTGAATTTGTGAGGTCGATGGTGCTGCGTAGTTTTTTTGTGTGCTGAACTCTGTTAGTGATCAACTTTCTCCAAAAGCAGCAGGCCTTCTACACTCTCTGCAGTACCAAGCACAGCACGTGTTAGCAGGGGTCTAACAACGGTGGGCAACTGGGTGGCTTGAGCCAACGAAGACCCATAAAGTTTGTTTGTACACACACATGCCATGCAGTAAAACCTGGACTGATATGGCAAGAGGCACAACCCCTTCTTGAGTGAATGAGAAAGAGATGACATTGCTTTCGCATCAAGAGAGCTATTCGCCAGACTGGCGTTTTCCATTTTCTTTCCATTCTTTTTTACGTAGATGTATCCCTGTTTTCCCCCCTAGCTGTACTTAGCTTTATACCCCCTATTATACTATAATTGTAACTGGACATCGCTTTTTGCCCCCTTTTATTTTTCTATAGTAACTGTACTTAGCCTTGCTGTGTCTGTGCCATGAGCCATTTTGCTTGGTATTCCCGGCAGTGGAGGGTGCCTTTGAGACTTCGTAGCTTATCATATTTGTGCGCAGAAGCTCACACGTTCAAAGTTTACACAAGCTAGAGTCTAAACTCCTTGAAGGTGGTTATATGGAGATCATATAGGGGACTACTATGGGGGTTTTTAAGGGAAACTAGGAGTTGCCTTTCTTCCTTTCTGCTTACAGTTTGAGAGAATTGCGAGATGGATCTTCTGCCCAGTTTGCCCAGTTGCAAGCAGGCTTCGGAGTCATCGGCGCTTTGGGCGGCTCCATTTTCAACATGCAGCTTGCTCGCTGAAAAGAGCTTTCCTTGATTCCATCACGTCTTGATGTTAGGCGTGCATATGCACAGGCACACAGATGTGTAGGTATGTACGTACATCCGTGCGTAGGTAGATCGTTGATTAGGTAGGTGGGCATGTCATGTGTGTGTATGTGTGATTCATGTTTTCTCGAAGTGTGTTACTGAGCGGCGTCAAACAGTGTTTATGCTTGATGGTGCTGCTTGGACCAACTTGGACACCAGGTACGTGGCAGAGATGTTTCCAACCCGGACGCGCAATCTTGGAGTTGGAATCAGTTGCTTTGGAGCTTTTCAGCTACCAGCACCTAGCATTGCTGCTGCGACAAATAGGATGAGTCACTGTACATGTGCTTTTTTGTGTTGCATCTGTTGCTACGCTTAAAATTTTCCTGACGGGTACAAGCATTTCAGGACCACCACCACTATCCGCATCTTTATAAGCTAGCAGTAGAAATTGACATTTCTAAAGATCGGGTTCGCGCTGCTGCACCAAGTTACGTTGCAGTTTGCTGTAGGACTCCCAAAAAACTGCCCAAACCTGTGCTCACGTGAGCTATAGTCTAAACTCCCAGTATGCTCCTTAATAACCCCCATAATAGTCCCATAGATAATCCCTTACCTAGTATCCTCTTCAATAACCACTATAGTAGTCCATTGTGTATAATCCCTTCTACAACCCCCTTTAAGGAGTTTAGGCTATGCCTCGTGTCATGCTTGTTGGTTTTGGGCGTAGCTTGACATGGCAAGCGGCCATACCTCTAACTTAGGTTGCCCCCCATACAGGAATATTGACTATAATGGATAACGGTGATCATCTTAGGGTCCTCTAATATTCCTAGTATGCCACTATTGCAGGGTAGGGGTCAACCTAAGCCATACCTCTAATGCAAGAACACCCTGCTAGCCCAAGCTGTCATCAAGTTACTTGGCACATGCTTATCTAGCGTGTTACTTGCCCCACCCCGCAATCCTCCCAATACACCTTCATCGGGCAGATGCCAACATGCAGATGCCAAGGCTACAATATCGGCATTAGCTTTGTTGGTGGCTTTGGCCCCGTTCCTTGGGCCTTGCACTAGCCGTACATGATCAGATGATAGGGATCTCCCGCAAGCTTTGCAGCTTTGCAGTGTGAGGTCATGTTCACCAATCAGTGTGGGTTCCTTCTTTCCTTCTGATGCCTGCATGGCTTCCGTCACGCGTTGTATGGATGGCCGACATGTTAGTACAACAAAGTCACGTGGGCTGTCTCGACTCAATCCTGGCATCTCTGCCTTGAGGTCACCGACTCTGTTGGGTCCATGCTGGTGTGACTTGTAGTTTCCATGGTTCGAGTACGTGGCCAAACCCCAGGTGTTTTGCAGCACACTCTTCGAATGGTCAAGATACGGACCTGGAGGCTGGCTTCGATCACTGTACTTACGGGGGGTTAGTAGGGAATGAGGGAATAAATTACATAGGGATTATATAGAGCTGATAGTATCTATTATTCCGTACCGCCAGTAAAGTTTAGACGCTTCTTCGGGCAACACCTGAATGCGGCCAACTTGGTTTGTGCAGATCCCCCGAGCATGGCATAGCCCTGACAGCAAGGCTACATGTCACTCGGCGGCCTCATCACCTGTGTGTGGCTCGACTCATCTTTCCCGGAAATTCGCGCATGCTTCTTGTTGGGCTGGTTTGCCATGCCAGCTGGCCGTGCCCATAGGTTGTCATGCTGCACACAAATTATGCTGCAGGGACACCTTGCAGTTTGCCCCTGTTCCCTCATTTTGCCAAATGACGCCATCTTGCCTCAGCACGTTACTGTTCTGTTTGGGGTTCTAGGAATCAATGTCGGTACAACAGCACCCCCAGCAGCTGGCTAGGACTCTTTTGGTTGGTGTTAAAATGCACCGAGCTGGGTTCGTGCGCAGCTTGGCAACGCATTTGGGAAACCAAGACGTCCGGGGTTTCCATTTCAGGGACGTAAGCCTTGTCATGGCGCAAGGCAATCTCAGTAGGAGAAATGTGAGTAGCAGCATAGGTGGAAAATGCCCTAGCAGGCAAAATAGGCTGAACGGCGAAACCTGGCGAAGGTGCTTGGAGCATTCTAGGTCCAATATTGCACAGCTGGGGTGCACCAATCAGGCATCTCACGGCAGTGTGTCAACTCAGGCATGGCCCATGTACGCGCGAACCCATACTGGTGGCCTTGTGCCCCCTGACCGCATGTGGAACAGAAACGAACATGTACCAACAGGCACAGTATCTGTGGGATGTCGGACGGCTTCAAGACATCCTTAGCAACCAACAAATCATGTGCCGGTTTGTTGTAGGGAGACTCTCTGCAAAGGAGTAGACATCAGGAGCAGAGCAAGCGCAGCAGGCGTGGAACCAGCGTAGTGGATCCCAACGTGCATGTGATGTGGTAGTTTCCTAGAACAGGGGGACCACAATATAGACCCTAATATATTATAATCCTTATTATGGGCGCCCCTAAAAGGAAACCCCCCCAATTTTGGGAAGCCCCCATGTGATGGTGCTCTGAGGCAGACTTACGCGAAGGCGGTAAGGCTGAAGAGCACTCCTCGTCAGAGTCTGAGACGTCAGAGGAGTGAAAAGCGCTCCTTGCCACGACGCAAGACAGGACCCGGACTGCGAGACAAAACTAAATTGCTGTTTAGGAACTTGATTTAAGTTGCTATGTTAGGGAAACCCTACTAATCACTATATTTACACATTATGAAGTTTCGTAACAGCAACCCAGCCAAATGACATGTGGTGTTTTCCCACAAGAATCACGGCTGGAGGGGTTTGAAAAGCTCAGGCAATGGACGGAAAACACATTATGTTTTTCCCTTGTTAGCACGAACTGGAAGGGCTTTGCAAGACCAATTCTGCGGTCCGTTCTGTGGATATGTCTTGCGCACAGCTTGTGGCCCAATGAGGCTCCAATTTGTGTCCGAACAGCGACCACAGCCCTTCTGGACCCTGTAGCGTTTATGTCAGAGGTGACAAACAGCAAGGCGCTGTTTCGCAACAGGATGCTGTTCACCAAGATCCTCAAACGCACAACTGCAACTGGAATCTAGATAGATTTGTTGGCAATCCTGCCTCTTCCATGGCTGGCTGGCAGCGGCCGTCATGCAAGATTCTACAGACGACGTCATTCTGAAGGCCGCCCTTTTTTGCAGACAGCGTTTGCGGCTGCAGAGTGTTCACTCTAAGGAGTTGAAATCTGACTTGGCCCCATCTCCGAAAGGCTTCGTCCGGCAACCCAGAATCTCTCCGTCCACAAGGCGGCCCTGGCCCTGGGCGGAAAGGACTGCGCAGAGAAGCATAATCAGTTGGAACATGCGAGGGCGTGGACAAGCCTCGATTGCAACGCTGCGGGCCATGCGGCCTAGAAGAAAATTCATGGCAAGCATGCTGCCGCTGCAGACATTCCATTGGCAGACTTAAGCCTTCAACTCGTTGCAATACTGTTCCGGGCTTGACATGGAACCATACATTATCTGTTAAACATGCGTTGTCTGTTAGTAACGTCAGGAGGGGGCAGAGCGGGCAACTGGCCTCCACCGTTGCCTTTTTGGCAGTCAGACGAGGTCGCCTAGCGGGCCTAGCACGAGTCTTTGCAAGTGGCATGACTCCTCATCCCTTCATGTTTGAGAGCCCTCGAGGGGCAGTTGCCAGTACTGTACGTCGTAACGTACGTAGCATGCTCTGGAAAGATCCGCTTTCCATGCGTGCTTAGGAAAGCCACAGGCCATTCGAAAGGTAGCAGTTAAGAAAGATAATGGTTATAAGAATAGGATAGTAGCACTAGCAATTGTAATGGTAGTAGCATTAATAAGAATAGTCAATCTGAGCAATAGTAGGGACAAGAGTAGTTGTAGTATGGGGATACTATGGTACCCCAATAATGGAGAATCAAATTGAAAAGAAAATGGAAAATAAAATGGAAACTGGGGCTATATAGGGGGTATATTGGGGATATAGTGGTCTCCCTGCAAGGTCGGTGGCACACCTTGGCTGGAAGTCATTGCACCACCCGGCCGAGCCCTAGCCCAGCTGCAGGCAGCTCATCAAATGCAGCCTTCAAGAGGGATATAGGGGTATATAGGGGCATGTAGGGACATATAGGGATATGTAGGGATATATAGGCTTAGGGATATGTAGGGATATATGGGCTTGGAGATATATAGGGATACATAGGGGTATATGGGCTTAGGGATATATGGGGATATATGGGCTTAGGGATATATAGGGATACATACAGATATGCAGGGATGTATGGGCTAAGGGGTGCATGAGGATAAATAGGGATATGTGGGCTTAGGGATATATAGGGTTCAAAATTAGGGGGTCTTCTGGATCATGCTCAGCTTGTGCAAGGTGAATTCTTGTGAGAGCCTATATGATGGTATATTATGTAGAATATAGTATATCATGGTATATTATAGTACTTCTGACATCCGAAACGCCTGTGGCACCTGCAGTTCTTCCTGCTGTGCGGTCCAGAATTGCCAGAAGTATGGGGTCTCATCTTGGTGGGACACAGCACGACTTTCAACATTCAAAAAAGTAGGCCTACGCTTTAAGCTCAAGATCATAAACCAGACAATTCGGAATAATGATCCATATTCTGCCTGGTACTTTTCAATTGTTATGGTATTGGGGGCCTCCTTTAATTTAAAGACCCCAAACCCTCAGCCCTTAAAACATTTTTGACGTTAAGCTGGAGCCAAGTAGAGCAAAGCCTTCGCATACAGCAGGTCGAGCTGCCAAGAAACGGACGAGCGGAGCCTCGACTGATTATTCTTACTGGTTCTCTGTAGGGAAAAAGAGAATGCAATATTCCCGAATAAGCCCCGCATGTATTCTGTTTGGGGGGATAGGAAGTCACGGGTATCGTTTCCGTGCCTGTCTGGCCATGGCCAGGGATGTACAAAGAATGTAGCAAATAGGTTGGGAATGAAACCCTACACCCCAAACTCTAAACTCCAAACCCTAGACCCTGGTTTCTGAAGCTGACTGTGGTTCCAGAGTGCACAGAATCGGTCTGGGAGTCCTTTACTGGGTTGTTGTTAGGTACTTAAATTGAATTAGATTAACGAGTATGGGTATATAGTAGATAATAGGGTTCCCTTATTATAGTAACTTATCCTTAACAGCAACCCAGCATAGAGGCCCCATCTCGACGTCATGAGGTGTCAGGGATGCCAAGATGTTGGAAGACAAACTTCAATATGATTCAGGGCTTAGGGCCTTCAGTTTCAGGGAAGGAAACGAGTATACTCCATTGTGAACTTGATTGGGGCTATTTCAGGGGCCTCATCACCTTGTCAGCCCGAAGGTCAACTATAAGGCAGGCGAATAATGCACCGAGCTGGCGCAGAAGGATGTCATTCAGCTTCCAGCCAAATGACGCACGTGGTAGGGGCGGGGGCTTTTCTACCTGTGTCCAAATCGTCCCCGGCACTGCACCCACCGCTCATGACGCTGCCTGCAATTTTGGTGCGCAGACAAGATTTCAATTTTGAAGGGCCCGCTACAGGGATGGTACTGCAATTCTTGCTTGATGTTTGCTAGTTCGCTGTCAAATGTTCTGACTGAGGATGGCTACACACCAGAGCATGTGCAGCTTTTTGTGGCGACTGAAGGCCAGCGCAAGACATCTTTGGCATGCGGTCTGGTATGATTGACACGACGTCTCACCACAAGGTGACCGCAAATCTTAATTTACAATTCAAGCGCCCAGTGCAACTGAGCATGTATCGTCCGCCTGGCCAGGACTTGTTCATGTTGAGGCGCTTGTAGATGTGTGTGCCAGATGCCCGCAGGTCAAGAGCTGACACATACCCGTAGCATGGACAGACTCGAATATGCTCGGACATAAACATGTAGCGCAGAACTTCCGAGGACACCAGCAGAATATCCTTGTAAGCGATCGCAGCAGAGTAGGACAAATTATCATCAGCCCTCTGCCCAGACGATCTCATTCAATGTTGGCTCACCATGTCTGCCTGGAAAGGCTTTGACTGCAAGCTACATAATCACTGTTTATACATTGCATCTCCCAAAGGATACCCCGCTGCCTGAGTGCGTTGTTCCTCTAGTTGCGGACCATCCTGATGGAAACATGTAATATGACCATCGTCGTGTGGTCCCCGATTGTCTGGACCCAATCTATCTTTGCGGCTCTCGTCATTTCCAGATTTTGATGCAGGCGAGCCGCTGGGGGAGCTGCCCATCTTCGAGTCGGAGCAGCCATTTGGAAGCAAAGCCCTACATTCGGACATGGAGATTGGCAGGCAGAAGCTTTACATATGTATGAGGGAGAACGGTAGATGGAGGTAATTTTGATCAAAGGTGAAACTTAGGCCCACCTTGTGAGGTTGCAATGGCAACAACAGAGCAAAAACTCTGAAACAGATGCACAATTCTGAGGAGGAGCAGCAGTTTCGGGCTGGGGGATTCAAACCTGCTTGCCATAGATGAAGGTTGGGGCCCCTTCCTTCCTTGACAAAGTCAACGCCTCCTTTGTAAGCAAACTACGAAAGAGGACCAAAAGGTCCAACAGAGTCTTGACTCCTCGAGACACATGTCCGATGGTTGTCCACGCTCTTCGTTTGGCGAGGTTCTGGTCCTTGGCCTTCCCCGGGGAGATGGTTGCAGTCCCACCTAAGCCGCTGCCAAACAGGACTGACTGCCCGGAATCGGAAGAAAACATTATCTAAACTTCTTCTCAACATGACACAGACAGACAAACTGCTGGGCAGAAGCTTCGGTGGGCGTGGCCTAGCCAAAAAGCAGGATTTGCCGTGCTCGCCTTTGTATGAAGCGGGCTTCAGCGCACGGCGGTCCAAATGTGCCTGGCCTGCACTCTTCTATGAGAATCGGGAAGGACGTTTGGATGCTCAGATTGCCTGAGAAGGAAACTGCAGAGTGTTTGTATTGTTCCGCCAAAGCTTGTCCCGCTGATCCATCCATTTGGGCTTTCTTGCTGCACAGAAGACTTCATGGAATTCCATCTTAAGGTGCGCATCCAGAGTATCCGCGTTCTCACCAGAAGGCGCCTGTGGCTGCAAGGCTGTGAAACCGATCCGCGTCTTGCTGCTTCGTGTGTCATCCAACAACTCTCTCCAGCACGGTCGCGCAACATGCCCTGCTGAGACAACAGCTAGGTTCAGAAAGCTTGAACGCATCAGAAGCGCTACGCTACGTCATATCGAATGCAAAGCAGCGCATTTTGACTGGCCAACTTAGTGGTCGGATTTGCGCAACAAGCACTAAGAACTTGCATGTCCCTCACACACCACTCCCATACAAAGCTTTAGTGCAAATTGCCTGACAGGGTAGATCCGGAGTCTTCCACATCAGATGCATCAGGGAGAGGGATGCAAGTATCTTTCAACTGGTTCTCCTTGGAAAACCTACCTGCTTCGCTCAGTCCTTCCGCTTTTTACAGCTCAAGCAGTTCGTTACCCCTGACAAGTCCAAGGCTGAAGCGAGCTAAAGAGGATGGCACGTTTCTGGGAAGAAGGCTATGGCACGACTCGGACAGGGTTGATTGTGCGTTGGCGCTTGCCAAACTAGCCTGTCTGTGACTATCGCGCAGCTGTCTCCTGAGAGACGATAGGCCTTGCAATTAGCCATGTCTCGTGTGGCACAGAATGGGTCGCGGGATGCTGCTGCCTCGCGTTTAGGATATCTGCTTTCATATTAAGAAAGGATGCAATGGAGGGTTGTTGGCTAGAGCAAGCAGACACGTGTGTCCAAATGTTTGCAGCAGGATTTCACAGACTGCGTCCTGCGTTCAGAAGATGGCCTGGAGCAAAAGGCACACAAGGTGGGATTTCTCCTGGCTCTTTGGAATCCCACTGCAACTCTCACACTCACTGGCTGGATTCAGACTTCCTGGTTCAAGCGTTCGTGTTGCCAATTTGGTCAAAAACCTTGTTAAGTAGATGTAGTGGCTGCACCAAGCAGCTCACTTCTCAAGATTTGTTCGTGTGAGATGAAGGCTATCCTGGCAAACGCATCTCCCATTTTGAGTCGAATGCTGCGGTCTGCAACGAAGGCCAGCTGGCTTCGGAGTGCCTGCATTCATCAAGCGCTGTCAAAAACAGCACAAGTGCCGGATGTTCATGCCGCCCACTGCGCAGGCAGGTGAGGTCACACTGCCATGCAGCGGCGAAGTGGTGAGGGCCTTGCTGTGCCTCGGCAGCCTATCAGCAGCTTCGCCCTGGATCGTTTCAGTTCATGAAGCACAAATTTTACTGGCAAGAACCTGTACGCTCTGTTTAGGAAGCACTGCTATGGGCTCTTCCCGGACATCCGCGCCCTGAAAGTAGAGGCCGGGCAAGGGCAGATAGGCTGCGACCAGATATTATCTCAGGCAGGCTTCAACCAACGCCTGCACAAAAGGCTGGCCTAGCGTTCAACGGATGTCAACATCTCCTGGCCCGAACAACCCTCTGCAGCGGAACAGCAGAGCGGCCAGTGTCAATGCCTATCCTCCTACTAAATTGTCGCAAAGAACACCCCAAGATTGCGCAGCATTAGGCTGGTTCTTGTCCCTTCCGAAACAGGAGGGGATCACAGATAACAGGTGAAGGTGGTTGCAAGGCGCTGCCTCTAATTAATAATAGTGATCATAGTAGTAACAACAATAACAATAGTAGCAATAGTAGTAACAATAATATGTAATAATAAGTAACAATATGTATCCCATCATAAGGCGAGTGTTTGCTGGTTGCACGCTTGCTCGGCAGCGTCAAGTTGGATGGGCTTGCGCAGCGGGGACCCGATCCAAGAGTAACGTATCATCAAGCCCAACTCAAAACCATGAGGGAGCCTTGAGGTTCTTACTACTACCATTCTTAAATACTGTTACATTGTTGCATATCATAGCAAAATTATTACACATTATTACATATTGTGTTATATATTGCTACTATTACTACTAATATTACGATTGCTATTACTATTACTATTACTATTACTATTACTCTTACTACTACTACTCTTGTTATTGTTACTACTATTACTACTACTATTATTACTAGTGTTATCTATTTTCATAATTACTAGAAATCTGGTATCAGATGGCCGGCCTTTCAGGATGTGGTTTCCCTTGTGGAGCAAGCCCACGCCTTGGAGTTGAGCTCCTTGTCCGAGGACATGTGGGATACATAAGGGTTTAGGGTTTAGGCTTGAGGTTTTGGGCCGGGTTTAGGGTTTAGGATTTAGGGTTTAGAGTTTAGGATTTGATTAGGGTTTAGGGTCTAGGACCCCACCCTGTAATAGTGACTATAAGGGATGAGAAGGATTATCGTCCCCCTTAAGTAGATAGAATATGGCTTTTTGTATATTATAATAAGATCCCCATATACCCCATATTCTATCTACTTAAGTATATCAGCTGTAGTTTACACTCCTTCAAAAGGGTTATATAGGGGGTTATGTAGGGTTTAGGGCTTAGGTCTAAACTGCTTAAAAGGGGGGGGCACGGTAATAGTGACTATAAGGCATAATAAGGATTATATGAAGGTCCTATCATATCTCTACTATACCACTATTACAGGGTGGGGGGGGGTCCTCCTAAGGGATACAGTCCGAAAGCCAGTCAAGAGATGGCCACTGCGGGACTTGAGTCATTTTTTCTTGGGTACATCTTGGGAATAAGGAATATATTGGGGCTATATCGGGAGAATCGAAAAGAAAATGGAAGCTACTATTTAGGCTTTAGGGTTTAGGACTTCCCAAAATATTGGGGGTACCAGCTTGGGGATCCCAATAATAAGGATCATAGTTTAGGTGGACCCCCCCCACCCAGTAATAGTGACTATAATAAGGGCTAATAGGGATTGTATTAGGGTCCTCTTATATTCTTATTATAGCCGCTATTACAGGGTGGGAGGTCCTCCTAAATCATAGTATTTTGGGGTCTATGTTAGGGTCCATATTTACAGAAACTCCCACTGCAGCTGGAAGCATGCAAATCTGACAAGTGGTAGAGAGGAATACCCCTGAGCGCCTGAAATGGTAGTTTCCCAAAATAGGGGTAACCCAAAATGGACAAAAAATGTTGTAGTCCTTACTATTGGGACCCCCAAAATGGTACCCCTCATTTTGGGAAACCCCCAAATAGAGGATGCAGCAGTTGCTGCCACCCAGTGTCTGACCCCGGAGACGGTCGTCCCATTGATGAGAGGCCGAAATGGGTGCTGAGCAGGGAGATCGTGATTCCAGCAAACTTGTCGAGTGTTTGACTGAACATTTTAACCTGTGAAGACAAAGCGCTGTGTGATAAGAACGACAGAATATCTTGTAATTTTCAGGGTGGGGCCTTCTGACCTTCCGGAAGATCCAGACAAGTTCCACGTGCATTAGATGTTCTTGCGTAGGTCTTGGGTTTCAACGGCCCCTGAACGCTCTTTGCTGCATGCAGGCCTTCGTGCCTTTTACAAAGCTGGATCGCTGGTCGAAGAATGGGACAATCTGGTGCGGCAGGTCCGTGCACGGCAGGACTAGTGACAAGACGTTGACAAGAGCGATGCAGGATGCAGTTGTGCAGAGATCCATGTAGCTGTGGAAATTCGGCGGATCAGCTGATTACATAGGACCTTGAGGCAGACCAAGCTGAATCGGGAAACAGGTGAAATGATGGTGCAAACAGAGTCCAATCATGACGGCCTTTGGGCACCGTCTAGCTACTACAGGGAGGATCAAACAATTGATAGATTTAGACTTTTCAGCGTTTCGTGCAGGAATGAGTCCAGCAGCGCAATATTGCGGTATTGCGGATGCGCCTTGCAGCTGGGGTAGCGCAACTGTAAAGAGGCGTTCGACAAATTCAACGGACACCTTGCTTTTGGCACACGACGGAGGACCTGTCACATGCTGCACTTCTCGGCCTTTGACTACAGCCTTTGCCTTTCAGCCTGGGGACTAAGTATGCCAACTGTGCACTGAGACCGCTATCTCGTGTATGAGCACCCGTGTGAAGCAAAGTGAAAGTTGCTCCACTCCTGCATCTGAGGCGCTAGATCAGAGTCCCTGTACATACTTGAGAGAACTGCAGGTTGGCACAAAACTGCTTCATCCATGGGTCACACAGCAGATCAGACTTGACCATACTGACTAGAAGAAGTGACAGAAGACTGACTTCAGCTTTGCGATACACCGCAATCCAAAGGTTAGTGGTGTGGTCTACTGGCAAGAGGCTGTGCAGCCTACAGGTACGTTTCACAGCTGACCTCCGCAGCTACCGCATGCTGCGCAAGTGCCAACCGAGCAGAAAGGCTATTGCAGTGGGGTAGGATTTGGGAGCAAACCTCTTGTGCTTCACTAACACAACGGTGTGGAGCACAGTTTTGCTCTGTGTCTTGTTCATCGTGCTCTTGGCTCAGGCTGCCCCAACCCAACCCCCGTTCCTGTACACCTTTACGGTCCACTCATCCCGACGACACTTCATGGCGATGATGCCTCGAAGTGCAGTCCTCCTGCTTTGCACCTCAGTTAGCACATGTGGGAGTTCAACGCCTGTGGGTGTGTTAGGGTCGTGGTTGGAGCTATTCAGTTGTTCTGGACTCGTGGCATTTTCGCAGGCGTGCTAATTGCAGCTGTTGCCTGAGATTTTGGGCGATTTGGTTCAACGTGTGCAGAAGTGCAGCAGTTGTGTGTGTTTGGCTGGTTGCGTGCGTGCACGTGCCTAGTTCTCAACTGAGCAAAGTCCTGAGGTGTGGACTTTAAAAGTGAAGGGACATCTAGTCCTGACAAGCTTTCACGAAGAGTGAAGCCTTGACTGAGGCGCTTTTAGACTGTCCCTGGCTACGGCTTGCGACCCACAGAGCGAGGTCTCATGCCTTACTTCAGGTCATGTTATGCGGTTCTCAGGGTTGGGGGGTGAGTTTGGCGAAGTCATAAATGGCGGCACGCGGTCAACACCTCCAATGCTTTGCTTGAAGCTGATCATGATTTCCAAAGCCGTTGGATAAGAGCCGCCCCAGCCGATGGAGCCTGTAGCTCTATGAAATGAAAAGTCTTTTGAGATCTGTAGAGCATAGAAGGGGAGAGGTAGAAAGACAGGGAGAGAGGAGAACCTTGACCCACTCCGAGAGGAACAAGACATGTCAGGATGGTACTTGTAGCAAGTTGGTGGGGCATCGTGAGTTCTGCAAATTCGCGAAACTCCATAAGCCACCAGACTTCCGGTCAGGATCCGGTTCAGATGGATGCCCAGAGGATATGGACCAACAAGACGCCATGATCCGCCCTCTCACCCCTCCAGAACCAAGCGGCTGGACGGCGAACCGGTGTCGGAACTCGACAGACAGCAAATCAAAGCCTACAAGGAGGAGCTAGACATGCAGGAGTGAATTCCACTGCCGGAACAGATCAGAAGAAAAACCAGGGAGAAACACCACGACCGGAAGTGGACACTAGATCACCAGATTTCTACTTTCCTTGCTTTCTTGTTTGGGTGGCCACTTGCAGGGCGTTAGGCCAGATTGCAGAATGTGTTGGAGATTGGGAACCCATGGATTAGGGTTTATATAAGGTTTAGGGTAAGCCCATGGATTCATAGTCAAATTGCTTGTACCCCTGTGGGTTGTTGACCTCAGGGAACTAACGCGCAGCTCTCTCGTCAGCTGGAGTCCAGCAGAGGGAATCGGGCACCCATGTTTCTTTTTCATATTCTTACGGCTTATGCGCACCTACTCTTTGAGTTTACGAGAACGTGGAACTTCTCCTAAACCCTAAACAAACCCTCGATAAACTTCATATACATCTATATACATATATGCCCTAAACCCTATCTAAATCGTAATCTATCCTGATCCATGGGTTCCCTAGTTTCATGAACCGACGTCAGAACTCAGACTCAGACTTTCGGGGAGCGCCTTGAGGCCTGTCAGGTCTCCCATCTTTCCAAAAGAGTAATGAGACACTCCACTGCTGTCGATGGGCCGCAGACCTCGTAATCCAAAGTCCAGTCTAGTACTACTACCGTCTCTGCACACAGGGGCTCAGTCTTTGTGGTGGAATCTCCAAGTCTCCACCCAACAAGGGTGTGGGGGTGATCCCAGGAGGGGGCTAACGGTAGCGGCCCTCTCCAACGCCCGAATGAAAGCAATAGAAAAAAGGAGAGTCACAAATCAGTTGCGATGTCATGCGTCAGGCTTGCGACGTCGAAGACAGCGCCCTGCTGCAGTATGAGAACAACCCCAGGTGCAACGCCGTGTGCAAAACTACGACATGTCCTGAAACCTGCGTTGAACTGAAGCTACCTACGGCGGGCGTAAAGCTTTTCAAGAGCCAGGGCGTCGCCCAGCACGTCTCCTGCATCTGATTTAGCATGAATGCCAATGTGTGCACAGCTATCTTAAGGCCTGAGTTAAGGCTGTTGTACAAAGCGCATCTGATTCACTACATGTCGAGGTGCTAGAGAGCGTCTGTGACCCATGCTGCCTAAAGCCATGGCACCAAGCAGGTTCAACATCCTCCAAGTGTCCGAGGCCACCGTGCGAAAGGCTAAGAGATGTTCAAAAGAGTGCCCTTCGAAGCATTGCCACGATAGACAGGGGCGCAGTCCATTTGCAGCGACTATGGTTTTCTGCAGTCTCCGTCTCCTTAGATGTTTTTATATGTTTTTGTAATTCCTATTCGTGCGCAACCTAAGGAATTGTTAGGCACATTACTTCTTATTGTAGGTCGAAGAGGACTGCAGGAATATACCATATTGCAGAACTAGGTCCCGAAGCAGGTGAGATGACCTCCTGGAGCCTTATCACTTCATGCCTGCATTTCCAGGTACTTCGACAAGCTCTTGCCATTCAACATCTCCAGAGAGTATAAGACTCTTGCCTGATTGGTGCCAGCAAGGTAGGCTCCACATGAGGTAGGGTTTAGGGTTTAAGGTCTAGGGTTTAGGGTTTAGGGTAGGGAGGGATAGTGGACTAGAAAACGGAATTTAGTATAGCATGGTAGGGAAACATAGGGATGATATATGGGTGATTCATTTTTTGAGCTTGTGTCATCATTTGAAGGAAGATTGCGAGAGACCAGGCGACATGCTAGCCTTAGGCTTTCCAAAAATTGGGTGTCCCTTCTTGGGGCCCTCAAAGTAAGCATCATAATCATAATATATTAAATGTACAGTGGTCCGTTTTGGGATCCCCCTGTCTACAGACTGCCATCAAAGCCCTGTTCTATTTTCATGTTCTTGTCCATTTGGTTCTATAAAAACCCCTTATTTGGGGGACCATTAATTGTAAGCGCTAGCTGCGCCTCCGCCTCGGCAGCCGGGCTGCAAGACATCGCAGCAATTATGTCTGGTTGGGGGGCGGGGACAACGGGGGGCCAGGGGTCGAACCGCGGGAGGGGGGGGGATGAGCCACAAAATTGTGAGGGTGGGAGAGAGGGCAGGGAGAGCGGGAGAAGGCTGGATTCTGGTTAACCTTTTCCAGACACCTGTCGGCCAGAGGCCGAGGCTAACTAGCACTGAGCAAGCTTGAGGCAATGGAAGCTTCGTCACGGGATGCCGGCAACCAGCTGCTTGTCTACAAGTGATCGGCGGATCTACAAACCACGCACGGCCATGCAATCCTCCAGTTTCCTAGAATCAGGGGCACCGCCGCGGCAGAGGTATAGGCCACCACACATTTGAAGTAATGCAAATCCCATTCCGCGTGCACCTGACACCGGACTGGTTCAAATCTGAAATCCAAAGAAAGTAGGTACTCTGTGCATGATGTTAGAAAGATTTTGCGATCCTAAGAAATAAAAAGTAGACGCCATATGATCCATATCCTAGATTTCAAAAAGCCTAGGCTTGTACAGATGAGCTCCTAGGGACCAGGTAGGTCCTGCAGAGGCTAGGTTGGCGCAAGTCATTGATGCAGTTGTGACCTCAAAATGCTGCACCTTTTCGCGATGACCAGGGAATGCAGATGATTCGGCTTTCAACTACACTTGAGCAGTATTTTATTTGGGGATACTATGGTACCCTATATAGAGCAAGATTATATCCTCCTTTTGGGTATAGTATTTTACTAGGTTCAACCACCACAAAAACATTACTCACTTGCGCGCTAAAGCACAAAGGCGTAGCTGAACGTAGGCTAGCCCCAAGCTGAGGCCGCAATTTGGTGATTGCCGCAGGCATGGGCACGACGGGCACCCACGGCCTCGTGGCAGCAGTGGAATGAAATCAAGGATTACCGGCCAACCCTTGTGTCTATGGAAGACAGACCAGCGCAGGCATAGGAAAGGAATCGTTTTGAACAAGCCTCGCTGTCCACGGCCAGCATTCATTGACTGAGGTGTTGTGGTCGCACTGGAAGACCTCGGAATGCATGGACACTGTGCAGAGTTTTTCAGCAAAGTCAAGGGCAGCAGGTGATGTTTCAGATCACGGATCAGCCTAGGCCAAAATGAGCCTTCACCAAGAACAGTGGCGCTAGAAGCATGTGGCACAGTCTGTCCAGGATACCACTTCAAAGATGCCCGAGCTTCAGCCAACAAGCATGCCAAAGATCATCAACTTCCAGACTTTGTTGTCCCGATCGTTGATCAGCTGAAGCAAAACGCCTCTGCATGTGTCTTGGCCAGCACATGTACATGAGCTAGCTGGATGCCTTGCGTAGCCTAGCAAAAGCTGCTTGCATGCTTGGGGTACTTCCGGTCATAGTGGACCTTGGTAGACAGCACAATCCCAACAATGCAAGTCTGCAACTTAAGATGTCAAGCTGAACGAATAGCACATGAACGATAACGTAGGCGACGCCCACATCGCCTGTGCTGAGCCAAGAGCAACCCACAGATGAGCACGTACACATATGAATGCCTTTCGTTTGCGCACTTCCATTTATGAGAGTTGAGTAAGACGATCCAGCGAGTCAGTGACAGAGTGAGTGAGTGGTGGCAGCTGAGCAAGCGGGGCGGTGCCTCAGGCACCATCCCTCCCCGCCCCTCACGGGCTCCAAACATGTCATTGGCCCTCCGCTTGGAGCTCAAACTGGCAGAGGGCCCCGGGAACATCCGGAAATGCAAATGGAAGTAGCGAGCACACGTAAACGGCAGCAAGAAACCCAGCAGACGACATAAGTAGCCAGCAGCACCAGGCCCAGCGGGGCACCCAAGTATGCGGATCCAGGAGCAGAAGTAGCCAGCAGGCGCCATGTGCGAAAACGCACGTGCGGGTTGGTCTGCTTCTGGCGCTCCAGGAGTCGCATCGTGTGAACTTCTGAGCCTGCCACAGCAGTGGCTCCACACACAGCTCAGGGCTAAAAGATTCAGGAGTCTGAAAGAGACGGCGGAGGGGATGGTGAGCGCTTGGATGGCGAAGACTGTTGGCGCCTGTCACGCTCCGAAGGCTTAAAAACGACACTAGCTGCATGGAGGGGGCCCGGTGACGTGGATCCCAGCTTCCCGTGTACCCTCACTGACATTGGCGTACACTCGCAAATGAGATGGCAATGCAATGGACCACCGCCTTGCCAGCGGACACAGAACAATACCCCAGTACTTCGAAAGGCTGAGCCAGCAGCAGAATCCATGTCACCTACCTGTGGCTAGTCTACCAGTCGAGACAGGCTACAATGCCGTGAAGAGCTTCGACTTCAGCCAGCTTCCCGCGAACGTAGAGTACGCATCTTGGCCAAAGACTTGAGGCACGTCGGTGCCACAGCACTTGCAAATTCCACTATAGCTTCGGAAGCAGCACCATCCCCAGACAGTTAGTAAAGGCAGCCGTTGAGTCCCTTCTGGAAATAGAGGTGTTTTATCTTACGGTGCAGCCCAACAAAAGCTCTTGACTGCAGAGGTAACTCATTGATGAAGGAAACAAGAAGAAATCGGCGTGGACTTGTCTTTTCGGGACAGGGGACCTCAAGCAGGAAAAACAAAATGGACACCACTATGTAAAGGTAGCATTTCACCACCACCCAGGTCAGCGACACGCCCTTCACGGAGATGTTCCTGGACATGTACACGCAGTTCCCAACTGCCAAGGTCATTCTGACGACCAGGCACCTGTGAGGAGAGAAAGGCAGCAAGAAGGATATGCTTCGCTGAGCGAATAAGGTTGTAAACTGTGTGGTAGTAGTGCTGGTGGACTTTGCCGGAAGGTGCATTACAGTAAAAGTACCGCTTTTCATGTCCTTTGCCAAAACGCCTGCAAGTACGCAGTATTCAAAGCGCAAGCACCTGTTGTTCCGAATACGCCTCGGCCAGCTAAAGTCAAGAGTGAGAGGAATGGAAATTCCTGAAAACAAAATCCCATTTGCGCATTCCAACATATTTTCGTCCTCTGCATAGGAATGTCCTTGAAAGGTAAGGAATGAGGGTCCCTATTATTTAGGGATTATCCTAAATCCTGAACCCTAAACAGTGATTAAAAAAGGGGTCATATTCCCTTTCTCCCTACTAACCCCCACCCTAAACCCGTAAACCCTAAACCCTAAACCCCTAAACCCCTAAGTCAGCTCACTTGCTGCCACTGGGAGGCCTAGCCTCGAATGGGCAAAGAGCAGGAAGAAGCACGGCAAGACGCCCCCACCAGTCTTAGACTTAGAGGTATATATGTACTATAGTCTAAACTCCTTAAAGGGGGTTATATAGGGGATTATATAGGGGACTACTATAGGGGTCATTAGGGGGATACTAGGAGTTATGCGGGGGTTTCCCAAAATTAGGGGTACCTTTTTAGGGGCTCCCATAATAAGGATTATAGTATTTTGGGGTCTATATTGGGGTACCCTAATTTAGGGAAAGTACCATATATCATATATAGTCACCCTTAAGTAGATAGAATATGGGGGTATATAGGGATCTTGCTGTATTATACCCAAAGCCATATTCTATCTACTTGAGGGGGACTACATAGGGGGGTTCCGGGGATATAGAGGGTTATATGGGGAAATTGTAGGGATGTACAGGGTTTAGGGCTTAGGGTTTCCCAGAATACGGGGTATACCATTCTTAGGGGTCCCTATATAGTATTTAGGGTTTATATTGGGCTCCAGGTATATGAGCCATAGTCTGAACACCTTAACGAAGGTTATAGGGCTTACTTCGGGGGATACTAGAAGTTTAGGTTTAGACTATAGCTCATATAGCGACATATGTACATATGTCAACGGTATACAGGAGAAGGTGCAAAAGAGAATGAACACTACTACGTACTATATAATTAGGGCTCCGGGATTTTTGGAACTACGACTGACACAAAAACCCACACCATCCCTAGGAGGAAAGTGAGTGAAGGGAGGATGTTTCTACGAACAACAGGTAATTGGAGGGAATCTGGGACAGAATAGGTCCACTACCCCAAATTGATTTCTTTGTGGTAGGGAGCAACCAATTCTTTGAAATCCTAAACCCCATGTATCCCTACAATATCCCTATGTAGCCCTATAATATCCGCATATATTCCTTATATCGCCAGAAAATCTCCCCATATTTCTGGCCATGTGCCCAGGTTCTGAGGCCATGCGGCCTTGCAGCCGTCGAGGACTACTCCGATAAAGACCTGGATGCTCGACTGCAATAGTATATTATATCATGGTACATTATAGTATCATTGGGCATATTACAGTCTATCAAGGTATATTGTAGTATATTATAGTATAATAGCTATAAGCTGAACTCATTAAGGGGTGGTTATATCGGGGATTACATAGAGGACCATTGTAGGGGTTATGAAAGGGGGATACTAGGAGTTTAGACTAGCCTGCATCCTGCAGATGACAGCGACGGCGCATAAGCCCATGCATGACAGGTGGGTATTGCAAGGTCGCTGTAAGATTTGAGGAGATGATGTCAATGCATCCGAAGCCCCTGGCATCGTTCTTCCAAATTCAGGGGTGCCCATTGCTACCCCTGCACAACAAGAAGCTTGACTTGCCAGAAGCTGAGGCAGGCATGCTGGACGCCTACAATGAATTGGTCAGGTGCGTTGTCCCTCCTGGCAATCTGTTGGAGCTACAGCCTCAGACGTGTCAAAGCTAAGCGAAGTCTTGCAGTGAAGTATCACTGGGAGCTGACTTTGTTTAGCTTTGGACAATGCCTTGCGTATCCTTGTGAAAGACGTGTATGGATTTCATCCAAAAACTCGAGCCTTTGCCTGCAAAGGATCAATCTGTTCAAGCACGGTGACAAACTGACGGACACCCTGAGCAGCTTCCTGAACAACCGACTGCTTGTTCAATCAGGTGCGCAAAAGTGCTTAAGCGCACGCTTTTCTGTCAAAACCTTCCTGACAAAGATGCCCTGCTTGATTGCCAGGCCACGAGAAGCACGCCAAATCCAAAGCCAAGGCTAAGACGGCAAAGAAACCGTCGGCTTAGAATTCTTTAGTCTCCAGCGCTTAGCGGGATGCTGTATGTGCGACCATATGCCACGCTTCCAATGTGGTGGTGGCAGGCTCTCAATTTTGTTGCTGTGTCTAGACAAGTAGCCCTCCTAAGGAGGCATGCAAATGTCAAAATGACAGTGCAAAGATACTTTTCCGTGGCCTGAAGAGTCCTCAATCCTATATCAGCATTACAGACATAATTTGTTCCTTGTTGCTTATTCCATTCTGCAAGCACAGGCCCGTCTTTTCTCCATAGGGAGAGAATACCTTCTCACGCCAGATGGGATACCATAGCGCAAGATCACCATGCGCGTAAAGATCATTCAACTGCATCATGTGCAATATCACGTTCCTGCGATTCTAGATGGTGGCTTCCCAAAATTAGGGGCCCTATAATTAGGACTATAGGCTTTTGGGATCTCTATAATTATTGGGAGGGAAATCATCAGATATCCTGACCATGAGACATGTCCAACCACTGACCCGGGCGTTTGCAGACAACGTGTGGTGCTTCATTTTGGATCACTCGACATATAGGCAACTAGTCAATATTTATTGATAGGGATCTTGCTCATTGCGATCACAAAACCAAGAGTCCACCAACAAATATTCAAAAAGCTCAGATCAAAATCACGGTATCAATCAGAATCTCAGGAATAGAAAAGAATCTAACGAAATGATATTCTTGACAGAAAAATTGTAAAAAAAAAGATATCTAACATAGGCGTAAAGCACAGAGGACCTTTCAATTTATTGAATGACAAAGATTTTTGAGAAATAGAGATTAGAATATCTTTCAAGGATATAATTAGGGAACAGAATGATATTGCATATATCTTTAAGAACGAAATTTCAAGATTTGCTCAATTACGATAAATATATTTAGGAGATCGTCATTTAGATATATTGGAATATTTGAGGCGAATATTTATGATCGGAACATATTTATTGATGATTGAATGATTCTTTCAATATTTGATAGCAGATTATAGATTTGCTTCATATTTGTTCCTAATGAAATTAGATATTCTTTTTCTCATATTAAGATATATCCGTTCAAAAAATTCTTTCTAAAATTCTTAAAATATTTCTGATCTTTTAAATAATCTTCTCAAGAAGGATCTCAAAGAATAGATATATCTTGATAGATATATTTAAATATTCTCTCTCGGGTCAAAAAGAATCGGAGAAAGATTTCGATTTATCAAAGATTGGAAAGAATATATAAATGAATTTATATTTTTTTTTTCAAATCTATTTTTCAAAATTTTGAATTATTCTTTTCTTATTTTTTTTTATAAAAATTCAATTAAATTATTTAGAATCATATTTTTTAAAATATTTTAATCGATTCTTCTCAATAAGCTAGGAAGGCATATATAGATAGCTCGTATATATTAAGAATTGAAAAAATATATATTTTTTCTAGATTATTTAAAAGATTTCTCCGAATTCTCTGAAATGAATTTCTTCTTAATAAATATAGGGGGGTGCGGAAAGTTCGACCCGCCCGAAGATTGCAGCCCAAGTCTCTTGCAAGTAGCAACATG